AACAGCAGCGACCGCAAGAGAGCAATCTCGGCCGGAAGGATAGGGCCGGACTTGAGGTACGAAGGGGCGGGGGGCGGCAGCAGGGGTAGTAGTCGAGACGGGGGATCGGGGAGAGTCGGCGGCCGGGGGGAGCCGAAGCCCGCCGGTGGACAGAAGCCAAGGGGGCGTTCTAGAGAGCGGCGAGGAGTCGTTGCTCGGAACGGTACGGAGGCCGTGGCGCCGGGGGTAGAGCGGGCGGGCGAAGAGGAGGGAGGGGCGGCGGCGGCGCCGGCGCCGGCGCCGGGGGGAGTGGGCTTGAAGCGCGATTCGGACTCGTCGCGAAGCGTGGTGCAGAACACGGGGGCGGCGGCGGCAGCGGCGGCGGCGGCCGACGACGGGGGCTACGGGAGCGACTGGGACAAGCTTGAGGTGAGTGGGCAAATACTTCGGTACAAGGGAAGACGCCAGCAGTGCAATGGCGGCGAGGGGGGGGAGGGGGGACCCTGGTATAGTTATGAGGAGCGCCGTTGAAGGCACAACGACTTTAGTCAGACGTCGTACATTGATCGTCCCACAAATGTCGCGGGCCAGAGAGCGGCAGAAGGAAACAAGGGATCTCGCCGTGCGATGAGCATCCACAAACCCGACCCGCGCGCCCACCGCGAAACACGTGCTATAACCACTTGTCAACTCTCAACGTGTGCGTTTGCTGCTGTATCTCCTCCCCAGATGCATCGGGCCGTGTATGCCAGCGACAAGCCGGGGCTCCGGCTGTTCATGCAGGCGCGGCCCCGGGGCCTGAAGCAGGCGGACCACCACGGCAACACCCCGCTGCTGTTGGCCCTCAAGCTGGGACGCACGGAGATGGCCTGGCTGATGGTCCGGGCAGGGGCGGAGCTTGACCTCCCCAGCGACGGCAGCTTCCACCTTCTGGTATGTTTTTTTTTTTTTATGTTTCTGCTGACAAGTAATTTCTCCAGAAGTGTTTTGTTTGCTTGTTGGGAAGCTAGTCGAGAGAGAGAGCAGCACGGGGGAAGGGTGGGCGACGGCAGCTTTTCCACCCTCTGGTAGGTGTTTTTGTTTTTGTTTTCTGACAAGTCATTTCTCGTGAGTTTTTTCTTGGGGTGGGTGGGGGGAACAGAAAAACGAGTGGTTTGAAAACAGCAAGGAGAGGTTGACAAGACACTCTTTGTTTTGTTGTTGCGTGTGTGTCCCCCCCCCCTCGGGCTATGATAGGATGAAGCGATCGTGCACGGCGACGAAGACCTTCTGGTGGAGGTTTACGGGCGGCTGCAGCGGCAGTCGTGGGCGAGGTGGAGGGCCAAAGTGCCGGATCTCCTGTCTCTGCTGGACGAGAGCATTCCGGTACAGTATTTGTAGTAGTCAGTGCCTCGGTACAGCAGTACCACCTGGATGGTATTATACGAAGTGTAATAGTGTTTTTAGCCAGATAAAGAGAGGGAAAACGACTCGGCGCACTCCGCCTTGCGAAATGTCAGCTTCACATCACCAATGGACCGGACCGGCCTGTCTGTGTGGTGTGTGAGGCGATCCTTTTTGTCAGTGAGAGCTTTTTCGTCGTCTTGGGTGTTGTTGCGGTATTGTGAGCAAGAAAAGATTATTTTTCCGTGCCGTGCCGACGGGGTTTCTGCACCAAGATGCCAAGAAATTGCTACATTTCCCGATCAAGACCCGGCTGTGGCTCTCTCCTCCCTTGCCTTTGCCTCCTCCTTCGCGTCACTGCTGTGTGGCGGGCCCTGCCTCGCCTCTCGCGTATCCACCAGGACTTCTACATGGAGATGCACTGGAGCTTCGAGTGCAGCAACGTGCTCGCGCCCATCGTGAAGGCCGTCGCGCCCCACGACCACTACCGCATCTGGAAGAAGGGCTCGTGGCTAAGGATGGACTCGACCATCACAGGTCGGTCTTGACAGACAACAGACAAGCAGATTTTTAGACTGACCAACAGAATGAGTGACTGCCTGGCCGACCAACACACAGACAGACTGACAGACACCGCACTAGTTGCCACACACTCTTTGCTGCGAATTTTTGTTGTCGTGTTTTTTTATTAAATCTTTGTGGTGATGGCGACGGGCTGCGTATGTGGCAGGGACCTTGCGACATGAGAGAACAGCAATTGTGGCAAGGCAAGAACTTGGCTTATAGGTATCTGCATACCATAAGCGACTCGAGATATCACACACCCCCGGACCGATTTTCAAAGCTCGATTAATCCGAAGCAGAATCAGCGGCGGTGCCGAAAAACGGCGGCGTTAGAACCGTCTCGTTCGAGAGCTTTCCGAAAACGCATAATTTTCTGTTACGCATCCTCTTTTGTCGTGGAGTAATCGAGCCTTGCAAATCGGTCTAGGGGGTGTGGTATATTGTGTCATGTCACTTACGGTGTCTATGTGTATGCAGGGTTTTTGTCTTTCTTCCCCTGGCGAAGTTCAGGGAAACCCGTCAGTTGCACAACGCGCCACGTCCCAGATACCCCGTCATGCAGACTCCAGTTACCCCGCGGTGCGGAGGCTCTCTCGTGGAAGGATATACAGCAGATGCCGCCGTAGATAGGGTTGGAGGAGAAAGGTACCAACGACGGAAAGGCGACGCCGGCGGCCAGCCGGTCGGTTCGTGTGCCACACTCTTGTGTATGTTCTTGCACCATGTGTGCGTGTCGACGATATGTCGTCCTACGTTCGGCGATTCGAGTTCTTGGTCAGTAGCAGCAGTGTCTCGGAACACCTCCCTGCAGGTGTTTCCCCCCTACTTTTCAGCGCACGGAGCCCCCGATGGCTCTAGGAGTAGTGGACACGGCGCTGCGCTTCCTGCTTGAGGTCCCCGTGTTTCGTAGCCTGGGGAGAGAGAGCTGTGGCAAGCAAGCAAAAAAGCGAGCGCGCCCCCTAGCGAGCATGCCCCCCCCCCCCCCCCCCCCCCTC